TTTTTCCTTTTTCTTACTCTTATTAATTATTGTAAAAATTTTTTTAGGCAATGAGAGCTAAAAAATTTGCGCGTAACCAAATCAAACTTGCTAAAAAATTACAAGATCCTGAATTGGAATGTAAATGTTGGATCTATTATTCCGAGGGTTTAATTCAACTTGGAAAGTTCAAGAAAGCCGAAATGATTATAGAACAACAAAAAACTTTTGTAACCAATGTTTTGCACGGTGATCAATTGGTAAATTTTAATAATAACTTTTTAGTGTAAAACGACTTCGTTTAGACCTAAGTATCTTACTTTTTTCTATTAGATCATGAGCATGTGTGAAAATGCAAATATGAAATTAAATGCTGCTATAACAAAAAATACTTACCAAAATTTTATTTGATCGTTCTATGAATACAAAATCACATGCACAAATTGACTTTGTTCGTGTAAACGTAGCGTAATGTGATGTTACGTACGTACGTTATATGTTACCAGTTACATAATATCGATACACATATACGTATAATAATTAGATAATTAGATTCTTTAGTATTTATGATTTTTGATTGCAAATGTTTCGAATTATTATGTTATGTCGTACTAAATTTGCCACAAAGCGGGTCTTATTATCTATAAACCGGACTGTGTAACAAAATATGTTTGGTAACAAAAAACGAATATCGTAATATACAAAAGAATGTCATCATTGTGTATATAATTAAAAGTGATACGTATTGCGATAGTGTTATTAACTGTTATTAACCATTAGTAAAATAGTACGATCAGAATTTAATTTTCATAAGGTAAGAACTTACCAAATACATACAGATATTGGCGGCCCCAAGGTGCCAGCGACGTAAACCATTTTCGCTAATTAAATGCATATATTATTAATAATATATTACCTGATTGGTGAAATGTCTGTGGCATTCATTGCATTTTGGGGCTAATTCGGAATAATATCCCGGGCCGTTTGGTAATGTGGAAACGAGGCTTCCTCATTCACGTAACTAATTTGAAATTTAATAAATATTGATCGTGATATCGAGGATATCATATAAAATAGTAATTTATTATCACGTTTCATTCCTCTACTTCCTAATGAACTTTTTGGATCCCTTGCAGTATAGGTGACACCACTAATAAAATGTATTATTGTTAAACAATTGATTTAGAATAGGTGTCACTCATACTGCAAGCCTAAATTTTTTATTTAGGAATTAAAAAGACGAATATCAAAAAGCAGCATCTAAAACTGCGCATCCTTGACAAATTGGACACTTGCAAAGATTATTGGTTAAAATTAATTGTGAATCAAGTTTTATTACTCAAACTAAAATCAAATTCACCAATTAGAAGAATGATAAATGTTTTCTTCTGCAGAATTTCAAACTCACCCTATATTCTTGAGTAACTGAGTAAAAAAAAAAAGGGTCTTCGACCACATTTTTTCTGTTTCTTAAACACTGATTACACAATACAAGTGGGCTAAGAAACATCAAGCATTTATTTAAACGGAAAGGTTTGAGCTGATTACGTATGATTTGGAATGTGTACGTACTTATTTAGTTGCTGCTTGCCATTATTCTTATTTTAGGATGCTATTTTTATTCATCAATGAAGATAATTATGGGAACTAAGATTCAAAATTTCAGCCTCGATCATGATTATTTTCGATAAGGTGATTTGCCAAGAAATCATGTGTAATCTTTCACAATTCTTATAAATGCGTACGTACGGTGCAAGAAATCTAAAAACCACAATCTCCTTATAGAGACAAGATAAACAAATTATTTCTTAAATTTAAAGTGTGTATATAAATACTTTATTGAAATCGATAATTTAAGAAATGCTTGATTTCAAATGCGCTACTTAATTATATCTACGTACATAATTATACGTTATTAACTCTGGAGAGATGGTCCGCTCAAGTAGCGCAGTGAAATCAAATATTTCTTAAATTATCAACTTCCATGAAGTTGAAATCAAATATCGATATTTCTTAAATTACCGACTTCAATAAAGTATTTATGTACGCACTTTATTGATGCTAACAATTTAGGAAAACCTTGTTTATACGTGCTTGTCTCTATAAGGAGATTGATTTCTCGCACCGTACGTAGCATTATTAACTATGTATAATCCATATTTATAATTAAAAGTGGTTCATATGAAAGGCAATTACGTAGAAATACAAAAATTTACCGAATAACTCTCGAGGAGGTACATTCTATGGAACTGAGTGCCGGTACAGCTCGCACTCTTTATAGAAGTCATCAGACTTAGAATATCCCTTCAATATAGCAGATAGTTTATATTGAGATAACACCATCGGTACTTTATTATAATTCAGTATCGAATCTTCATATCGAGAGTTCACTATAACAATAAAGAGAATTGCACTAAATTTGGATGTAATGAATTTATAAGCGATCATAGTAGGCTGCCAAATAAAACACATTATTGAGACTAATTAACCTATCATAGAGATAGCCTGTTAGGATGATCTTCAAACTAGAATCAAACCACTTATAAAAATCAGGATTTACTGCGGATAACAGTAACTTTTGGTCTATTTTCTTTTAAATTAATATAGTAATTGTTGGTTTAATTTTTTTTAAAGATATTAACTCGTTTAGAATAATGTAATAAAGTTATTTTTTTGGTTTTATTCTATTTATGAGTAGCTTTTTTTTGTTTTTTTTTTATAAATGCTATAGTTGAAATTTTATTTAATAAATAGAAAAAAATTCTACATTTAAGATTTCAAAACTACATTTGTGCTACTATCCCTTAAACCATCCAGCAGGCAAATTTGCCCGCTAAAAATTTTTTCCCTGTTTATAAAAAATTGCTCCAAATTTTCTTAAGCAACACTCTTTTCCTAAGCTTGATTAAAAGCTTACTATATTTTTGATTAGAATCTAAAAACAGGTGGTCCTGCCATCATCAAGATCACGATTGTAGCTAATCTATAATATGGCATATCAGTTTGTGGCTTTATATGAAGAAAAGTTAATAAAAAAAAACAAATTATTTTTAATAAATTTTTTTTAATTTTAAATTAAAATATTTTAATAACTATCTAATTAAATTTAATAAAAATTTTTTTATTTTAATTTTAAAATTATATAAAATTAAAATAAAAAAAAATCATTAAATTTGATTAAATAGTTGTTAGAATATTTAAGTTTAAAGTTAAAAAAACTTTTATTTAGAAAAAATTTGTCTTCTTTTTATTAACTCCCTCTTATATCATATTTAAAAACTTTGTTAACAACAGTTCATATCAAGAAAACTTCAAGTTGTTGTTAACTTCTGGTCTTGAATCTTTAACTTATTTTTAATAATTAGTTAATACAAGTGATCACTAGTTTGTGTTTAACTAAATTTTTAGAAATTATATAATTTTATTTTTTTTTTCTTCTATTAATCATTTATTGTCAAAATATTTTTTTGTTTTTTTTTATTAGATTAAATATAATCAGTTTAAATTTTTTTTATTAATTTGTATATTATTAAATTTAAAAATTCTTCTGCAATCTGAATTGTTCTTTTTATTTGGTTCTTATTTTCTACAATTTATATTGTATTATCGGTATAGACTACAATTACTTGTTTCTATTTTTTTTTAAATGATTAGTTTAAACTATAGTTAAATAAAATTCTTTGTATTACTATGTATCTTAGATTACCGATCATCAAAATACAAATTTATAGAAAAAACAAAAAATGAAAACTACAAAAAACACTTCAAGGCCACTAGGAAACTAAACTCAGAGCTCTAAAAAAAAAGAAAGAAGACAACAAGAAATACTCAATCTTTTAGAAGACTTGAGTAGAAAAAGCAGTACTAGCAAAAAAATAGAAGAAGTTATGAAAAATCATTGATATTTTTTTGTACTTTACAAATTTTTAGAAAATCAGCCTTGACCTTGAATTGTAGATCTGTTTTGATAACACAAAAACACAATATGTAATAGAGAATAAACAAAGAAAAATAACAAAAACTATATAATGAAAGTAAACAATGCTGTTAAACACATATAGCTAACAATAATATCTTTCGACAACAATGGAAAACAACAAGTCATATAAAGCAAATACTAACAGAATGCCTAAGAAAGAAAATTGAGATACCTGAAATATGAAAATGATATTAAAAGAGATCCAGACTTTAATAGCAGAAATATTTGAGAAAGAAATAAACAAACAAGTAGAGGAAATAATAGCAGAATATATAGGACAAAAGCTTTTTTTAAAAAAAATAGTCAATAAATAAATAAAAGACCTTTATGAAGAACTATAGCAGGAAAATTAGAATATACAATATCTGAACTCATAAAAAGAGACTATGAAACTTTTTACGAAGCAATACAAAATAATAAAGACTCTGTTAACTGCATTATCCCTTAAACTATAAGCTTTTCCAGGCAAATTTGTCTGAAAAATTATCATAAATATACTTATGATCTATATTTTTTAATTTTTAAAATA